ACATTGGCCATGGGCCACGTATACTTGCGCAGATCAACAAATTCGCGAGCCTGCATCTTGGCCACCAGCTTGGCATCATCGTACAAACGACTGCGACTCTGTTTGCGTCCGGCTGGGGCCTTAAAGCATTTCTTATAGTAGACATGCTCCACCGACAAGTGAATCAGCTCGACAATGGCACGGGCAATGGGCTCCTGAATGACCACCGATTGTTCTGGCAGTTTTTGTATGATTCTGTGGGCATTCTCCCAGTCTCCCACCTTGAGAAGAGCCTCGCAGAGGCCAAACTTTTGGTTTACGTTGTACTTTTCCTCATCGAACCGCTTGACGGCTGGCGGCGGCGGTGGTGGCTCTTTATCGTCTTCCTTTTTGTTGGTGGAGATCAGATTCAGTTTGCGCACCATTTCACGGGCATCGGCGAGCTCGTGCTCCCAATTGGCTTTGATCGAACCATCGTTGGGGGTCAGCCAAACGTACACATCGTTCAGTTCAATGACCTCGTGCTTCAGCAGCAGGGCGCACACATGGTACAGAGATCGTGGCGTGCGCGAGTCCTTAAAGTGGCAGAACTTGTAGCCCAGCACCTCACAAATAATGGCACCCGTGGGCATATAGCTGCGCAGCAGGGGTATAAACAGATGCCAGCGATCCGGTCGTGTTTCAAACGATTCAATTATGATGTCCAGCACGCGATTGGGATCCAGATTAAAGCAACCTTTGGATTGGATGACAAAGATTTCTAGCACAATTTGCACAAACAAATGGATGTCTACACCTACCTATCAGCGACTTCATAATGTCCATGATGCTCTCGGGTGTGGTGCTCTCCTCAAAGTCCTGATTCAGCTCGGTTATAAGCTTGGCAAAGCCTTCGCTTTCCTCGCGGAATAGATTAAAGCGACGCTGCTTATAGCTGTGGCACACAGAAAAATATAAAGTAAAGTACTTTTATCTCCGATTAAACACCTTTTGCTGTTTACTTACTACAACTTGGTTTTGACCTTGATGAACTTGGAGTAGAAACTCTTGTTCTTCACAATTCCCACCTCCTGCAGCGTGTCAATCTCCAGGCGCTCTTTGAGCAAACTCTCTGGCACCACCTTGTCCATATCCTTGACGAGCTGCACAAAGCCATGACGCTCCTCGTGCAGGCCCTCCGTCATAAGGGACGTTTCGCTGTCCAAAATATTAACCACATCCACAATGAGACTAGGGAAATCCTTATGTATGGCCTGGAAGATGATTAAAATGTAATTGCTGATTCCTTATACATGCATTCATGGTTTAGCTTACCACAACTTCTATGAGCAGATGCAGAACAAGATCCTTCTTGTGGGTGAAGCGTAGTGCCTGCCAAAGCAGCTCGTATATGGCATTCGAGACGCCCTGCTTGAAGACGCCATTCCGATCGTAGACGGGACTGTCGGCACTTTCCTGCAGCTGTTGTTTGAGGTATTTCAAACTAAAACGAAATGTTCAATATGCAGGCTACAGTAAAACGGCGAAGACACTTCATCATCATCATCATTCAGCAGCCGACCCAACAGCAATTGCATTAAAAACGCGCGCGTGGATTATGTGTGCTGCCCTGCATGGATGTATCTATCTATCGTGGGAGAGGAGTTGGCTTTAAACACGTACAATTCACTTCTGCCGGCCTTGTCGAAATGCTTAAATATATCTGGATTCAGGACATTGCCTGTGCCGGACCCTCCATTTGTATCGGACGCCGTCGTTGGTGCAGCCGCCGCTACCTCCATTGCCGTCGTCGTCGCACTGCTGCCATCGTTCTCCGTCACGCTGTGACTCTTCGACAATTTCTTCAGGCGCCGCATAAAAACTGTTTTTTGTTACACGCAGTCAATGTGCTGCTCGGGGCTTTTTACACAATTATTTCGTTTTACTTTTGATATTTTTATAAATTTTCACACTTTTCATTCACCGTCGCTAGTGATGTGTGTGTGATCATCGATTGTCAGCTATCGATATGTACGTTAGTCGCATGGCCTACTATGTGCAGTTCGAACTGGAACGTTCTGGAAATGAAACAGAACAGCAATAAACATTCCAGTTTTTAGGGCCGTTATGCACTTCGGGTTTACGGAGAAACTCTATAATTTCCAGTATTTTCTATTTGCTTTTCTTAATAATTGATTATTTAAATCATAAATAAAATTATTTATTTATTAAAAAAATGGTTATCGTGGCAGACAGTGCTGCTCGGCTTCAAATACATATTTGCCATGAGAAGTTGCCATCATAAAAAACCAAATCCAAAAATGCGTAACTAAAATATTGTGAGTCGCGGTATTAATGGTGTTATGACTTTAGACTTTGCTAATAGGCACATGACATAGGACTTAGACAATTTTGCTGCGTAGAGATGGATATCACTAGAGACATTATTGTTCGTAGCCGTCTCTAGACACGTCTAATGGCTTTTTCGATCAATTCTGCCGCATCGCTGCTCCCAGCTCAACTGGACAGCCAGCTGGACGCATATAGTTCTCTCGCTCTGACTGCAGACATTTGCCATAAAGCCAGTTCCGCCAGTGTGCAACTGCTTAACTGGCTTAACTGCAGTTGGAAATATAGAGATAGCTTTAAGGGAAATGCCTGTAGTCGGCGGAGTTGGGCTTCCAGTTGAGCTGGAAGCAGCGCTGCGGCAAAAGCTATCGATTTTTGTACTTTTCAGAGACAGTTTTGCTGGCTGCGTTAGCTGGAAAACATCTTCAAACAGACTCTGGCTTTACCATTCTCAAAATATTTCCGATTTACTTTAAAAACGGAAAGTTAGGCGCACCCGCATTCTCAAACGAAAATCGTTTTCGTTGCCGTTTTGAAAACGAAACAAAAAAAACCAAAAATGATGCAAAAAGATAAAAATAGATGACTTATTGATGCATTAACATGAATGTGAAAACATTACCAGTGCAATAAAGCTTGTGCCCTTTTTATTTAAACCAACCTCAGAATTAAATCTGAAAAAATTGGTCAGGGCAACAACAAACACTGAATTCCTCCGAACAGCTGTGGCAGCCCGATTTGGTTATCGATAAATCTCTGTTAAACATAATAGAGGGCTTTTTGTATGAGCTGCCACTAGCGCGTGTGTATAACAGCAGTACATTTTGCGCTTAACAATACAGCAGGAAATAAACCACACGTTTGCGAATGTCGGAGGGACATGAAATTAAAAGTGTGACCTCACCTCTTGGCTGAAAACGTTAAACGCAAAATTAAGTGAAAGCCGGAGTCTCACTGATTAATTGGGTTGGTTTATAACCGAAGGGGGGTTGAGGTAGTACAGGCAAAGCAGGCCGCGCAGCTTAATCTGGCAGGCCCCGGCCTTTCCCTTCATTTATCCTCTTTCTGCCTAAGAAAATATTTCATTCGCATTTAAAAATTGTATGTTTCCATACCACTTATTCCACTACACCTGTCTCTCTCTCTCTCTCTTTCCGCACCAACGAATCATCATCACGCTCACTCCACCAGGGAGCGCACACTGGGCGTGGAAAAGAGAGTGGGTGAGAGCATAGCTATGATCTGAAATTCTGTAGTCTGGTAGATATAATTTTTATGTAATTCTGCATTTTCGGTTTTATTGAATCTTCATTTATTGGTGCCACAGATTTTCGTAGATGCACATCTGCTGACAAAGTATAAATATAATTATGGCGTTGGAAATGCTTCCATCCGAGTGTCCAGTCTAATATACCCCTATATGCTCTGAGTACCATGCACGAAAAATGCAAAATTTGCATTTTTCGTAATCGACATTTCTGTTTAGCCTTCGTTAACACATTTTTAGATCGATATAAAGAAATGGAGCTAGTCATTTGATCTGAAAAATGATCAAATTACTCTCGCGGAAGTTTACTTTTTTTATACCGAATGTGAGTATAGAGGAATATCAAGTAATCGCAAATCTCACTATGAACATATGTATATATGTAGGTATGTACATATGTATGTACAGAACCATAAAGAAGCGTTTCCGATTCCACACGTTGCTGACTTTATATCTCTGTCTCTCTTCCAGGGTGTCTTAGCAGTAAAAGGTTGGCACTCGAGCGCAACTTCCTCTCACTCTCTATTCCAGTGTGTCTTTGCAGCTCGCCACATTCGGCAATTTTTCGGCAAAATTGTTTTTTCTTGATGACTCTCATTTTTGATTGAAATTGGGTATAGTTTTGCCCTTTTTTCGTATTCTACTACATAGATAATAATAAAGATAATATTTGTGGCGTTTTCCCCATTTTTTGACTGATTTTATGTGGCCGTAAAGGGTGACTTTTCATGCAAACCACTTCCATCTTTCTCTCTCTCTCGCTCCATCTCTCTCCACCGCTAGCTCTCTCGACGTGAAACACGTTCTCGCAGAACTACTCCCTTCCCTTTCTCGTCTACACACCTGGGATTAGCGTGTTTTTCACAAGTACTTACATAAGTATGTACACGTATGTACATGTATTTACCAGGGTATCTTAATGTCGAGACCCATGTGCCTCGACAAAAAATAGTTTTTATTGCACAAAGGAAACCCCCATATCGTATTCAAGCCCATTGTTATATTAATAAGAGCAAAAACTGCTGGTTGGCTATTGTGAAAATGATCAAATGAATTTATTGCTTAACTATTTAAATAAACTTTATCAGAATTAAGTACACCCATTTTCTTGTTGAATATTGATGGATAGTTAGTAGGATGCCCTATCGAAACAACACGATTGTTTTTGGGGGGTGGGCTATGACCTCTGCAACCTTTACGTATATTTTGGAAAAACATATTCATTAAGGGCATAATAATTACAAGAATGTATGTGTGTGCAGTAGAGTTGCGGGTTTCTATGAATCGATGTAGAAATGCTCAACTCTAATCTCTTATGGATACCATTATGAATGTAAAAATCGTAAATTAAATTTGGATTAAGCGCATTTTGTCTATGCTCTATATAAGGTTCTCCTCCTAAAGTTCTCTTCTCAGCTTATCTCTCGCGGCATTATAGTTCCTCATGTACGCGTGCTTGTAATAACGACTAAAAATTCCACATCATCGCAAACCTTAAAGCAAAGGTTCGTTTTCTATCTTAACATCGCACTCGACCATTGAGCTGTCCACGTAGCCGTTCAGGTAGCTGTTGGGTATAAAATATTTCTCTGGATCCGAATGCTGATGCTGATGCTGCTGCTGTTGCTGCTGCTGCTGCTGCTGCTGGCGCTGATGCTGCTGCAGCGAAGATCGCTGTGCGGCCGGAGCTGGTGTTAGCTTTGGCATTGTTGCTGGCGAATATTGCGGCCTAACCGCCGCATCGTTGCGTGCTGGCGTCGTCTCCTCCTTTTTCAGTTCCACTAGTATGCGGCTGATTTCCATGCGAAATTTGAGATTGCCCATGTCCGAGAGGGACTTCATGTGCGGCATTAGGCTAACCAGAAAATTGTAGTCAGCATCGTCTTTGGACGCCACTGTTGACTGACTGCTGGCTGCTGGCGGCGGTGTCTCCGCCACGTGTGTTGTCTGGCTGTTGTTGTTGTTGTTGCTGTTGTTGTGGCAGTAGCCATTGGATATGGGGCCGTCATACGAGGACGATGTCTTTCGCCGACGATTGCGTTTCGTTGGCGGCGGCCTGGGCAGCATTGAATGATTAACTGGCTGATGCAATGGCGACAGCAGTCGCGGCGACAGTTCCATATCGGATCTGTTGGCCATGGACATGTCCAGGCGCTTCATCAGCGACATATCTGAGCCAGAGTCCAGCGGCTTCATGAGCGACATATCGGAGCCCGAGTCCTGTTGCTCGGGCGAGTCACGCTTGAAGATGTCGCCCATAATTTCAAAGTCCACCGAATCATCATTGTCCAGATCGATGATAAAGTCATCCATATGTGTTTGGTCATAGTCATTGGAGCACTCGGCCGACTCGAAATCGAATTCGTAATCCTCTGGCTCGAATCCCACGAGGCCGGTGGGATCAAAAATGATGCGCAGGAACTCCAAGGGTCGAAAGTACGTCCAGTTGGACATTTCGATGCGACCCTGCTGTATCTTTCGGATCTCGGAGCGGTAGCTGTCCCTCAGACCTTTGAAGCGCTTCTTGCATGAAATAACTAGAACGATGCGAGAGCCATGGGCAATGGGTATTAATAGAAGCGCAGCGAAAAAGGTGACGCGCCACCACCACACCACCAGCGCGACACTTACCGTCCAGCTGCAATTTTGCAGACACATCCAACCACTGCGTCGCCCATTCGTCCTTGCGGTTGGACAAGCGGATGCTGGTGTCCCATAGTGCACGCCGCGGCCGTACCTCCGCAATGAGGCGAAGTACGTCTCTTTTCATGGGAATATACAGCTTGGCGTTGCTAAGAAAACTTTTATCGCACACCACAAAACAAAAAGTCGTGGCGTGTAAACAAATGAAATGGCCTGCTGCCCAGCCAGCGACCAACTTACAACAAATGCGGGCAGGCGTATGTGTGTGACAGCACTTTGTGACAACGCTCAAACATTTATTTAATGTCGAGGATCTAATTTAATTTCTTTAATTTGTCACAATTTTCGCAAGAATATTTTCATCGCGCTTCACTTTTTTTTTGCTGCACAACAAACACTCTGGCAACTCTGGCCTGAACAGCTGGCGTGAATCAGATGTGTGGATTGGAACAGTGGAAACCAAACGAAACAACACTGAGGAAAGAAAGAGAGAAAACAAATTTGTTACAGCCGGCTGTTTGAATAAACATTTAAATTAAATTCACCTATGATGTCCAACCACGGGGTGGAGTCTAAGGACGATGAACTGCCGGCAAATACCCTGGAACTATTCACAGAACTGGACCAGGTGCTGCAGATGATCGAAAATATCAAATCAATCGATGACGCCTCTTTCGAAAGGGAATTTCAAAACTACTCCCAAGTGCTGTCGCTCTACCAAGAGCAGCCCCACTTGCTGGATCCCCATCTGGAGCTGCTGCTGGGTCGCCTGCTGGCCAAGATTAGGGTGGAGGAGTCGCCGGTGGGTGAACGTGATGCAGCCTTCAAGTATTTGTATATCATATGCAAGGTACGCACATACAAAGTATTGGTCAAATTTATGCCCCACGAGCTGAGCGATCTGGAGTTTGTGCTGGATCTGTTGGGCCAACAGGATCCCAATGCATTCGAGAAATGGGAGACACGCTACATACTGCTCCTCTGGATGTCCATTGTTGTGCTGAACCCGTTTCATATGTCACGTTTGGATGCATACGAAACCTCGCCCAGTGTCCCGGCTGTCAACTGTGTGCTGACCAACAACGTGCAGTCCAATAAATCCACCAAAATGGAGCGCATCTTTGAGCTCTGCAAGCTGTATGTCTCCACCAATGATACGTGCAGCAGCATGGCCGCCTATCTGGCTGCCAAGTTTTTCGTACGCATCGACATTAAGGATCTGTATTTGGAGCGTTTTCTCGACTGGATCATTGGCCAGCATCAGGCGGACACTGTGAATGTGAAATTTGGCCAACTGGCTGCTGTGGCGGCCATTCTGAAGCATGGCAAGCGTGAGGATTTGCTGCCCTATGCGGACAAACTGCTGCACTGGATAACCTCCTGCCAGTACAAGGATGGCAATGATTTTCTCAAGTACAAGTACTATGTGAAAATTGTCCAGCGATTGGGCTTGGTGCACCTGAAGCCACGCATTGCCAGCTGGCGCTACAAGCGGGGTGAGTGGAGCAGGCGCACAACAAAGATTCGTTTCCCGAAAGCTGCTCTTTTTCAGGCACACGCTCATTGGCCACAAATCTCAATCAGCATCCGGGCGCCGGTGGTGCGCAGTCTGGAGCTGCTGTCGATGGCGCCGATGGGGATGCGGGCGAGGAGATTATCGTGCCCGATTCCATTGAGGAGGTGATCGAGGAGCTGCTGCAGGCGCTGCGAAGTGGCGGCAATGACATCCGATGGAATGCCGCCAAGGGTCTGGGCAGGGTGACCAATCGTCTGCCCAAAGAGCTGGCCGACGAGGTAATTGGCTCTGTGATTGATATACTGAATCCGTTGGAGCCGCACGAGGCCTGGCATGGCGGCTGTTTGGCTTTGGCCGAGCTGGCCAAGCGTGGTCTGCTGCTGCCACATCGCCTCGAGGAGCTGGTGCCGCTGCTCATGCAGGCCTTGTTCTACGATGAGATGAAGGGCTACATGTCCGTGGGTCAGCATATACGCGATGCCGCCTGCTACATGTGCTGGGCCTTTGCCCGGGCCTACAATCCCGATGATGTCAAGCCGTTCGTCCAGAAGATCTCCTCTGGCCTGCTCACGGTGGCGGTGTTTGATCGCGAAGTGAACTGCCGGCGTGCAGCATCGGCTGCTTTCCAGGAGAGCGTTGGCCGTTTGGGCAACTTTCCCTTTGGCATTGAGATCTCCGTCACCACGGACTTTTTCTCTGTGGGCATACGACAGAATTCGTATCTGAATATCAGCGATTTTATAGCACAATATGAGGTATATCGCGAGCCATTGATCAGTCACCTGGTGCAGCACAAAGTGGGCCACTGGGATACGACCATACGCGAGCTAACAGCCAAGGCGCTGCACAAGCTCACGCTGTGGGAGCCAGAATACATGGCAGCTGTGGTGCTGCCACAGCTGCTGGCCAAAACGGACACCATTGACATCAACAGTCGGCATGGCTGTGTCCTGGCCATGGGCGAAGTCACCCTAGCTCTGCGCAAACAGGAAATGGCTAGTGAGCCGGCCATTGTGTATCTCTCCAATCAGCGGATTGTGGAGCTAAATGAGCTGCTACGGAACTTCCAGATGAAGAACTACTACCGTGGCATGAGTGGGGAGCTGCTGAAATCCAGCACAGCCGATTTCATACGCAACTGCAGTCTGGCCAAGCTGCAGGTGACGCCCGATTGTCTGCGTGAGTCCATTAAAATCTTTAAAACTATCCCCATATAAAAATAATTTCCCTTTCAGTGTCGTGGCAATCGGTCATTGACTTGTGTTTGGTCACCAAAAACCCTGCCATACGTGAGTCCGGTGTGGAGGCCTTTGCCGAGCTGTGTCGGGCCTACTACTGTGTGGATACACGCAGCGACCAGAACGAGACCATCATCAGGTCGTATCTGAAGGGCTCCGAAAACGATCTGGACGAGCACATACGCATGGGCTACATAGCCGCCTTGGGTGTCGTGCCCTCGTTTATGCTACGCCCCCATTTGTCGGCTGTGCTGGAGAGTCTAGTGAAGCATTCGCTCACGCCGCTGCAGGCGGTACTGGCCGGCGATATGGTCCACCAGGAGCATGAGAATATCCAGACCTACCGCTGGAGCGAGGCGCGCATGGAGAGCATCAAAGCCTTGACAAAGGTGGTCCATTCTGTGGGCTACGAGGGATCGATTGGTAAGAGTCTAGCATTATAGCAGCATTATAATCTGCAGCTAATGATCCCGTTGGCTACCCTTTAGATACCTTCTCGGAGCAGGCAAATTTCAACAAAGTCATCGTCTGCCTGCTGAGTGCCCTGGAGGAGTATACGTTGGACAATCGCGGCGATATTGGCGCCTGGGTTCGTGAGGCAGCCATGTCATCGCTCTACCAGATAGTCACTCAGTGTCCACCGGCTATGCTCTCGGCCACGCATGTCCATGAGATTGTTGTCGGCTTCATGCAGCAAGCGGTGGAGAAAATCGATCGTACGCGCGGCCTGGCCGGACGTCTTTGCTGCCAGCTGATCCATGCTGATCCCCCCATACCGCACATACGGGAGCATGCGAAACTCATTGAGATATTCCCAGCGGATGTGAATTCTGTTCTCTGGCTATTTGCCGATCATACATTCCCCTTGTTCTGCCAGCTGCTGGGCCTGCCGGATTACTCCAAGCGCGTGCTGCTGGGTCTAACCGCCAGCATTGGCCAACTGACTGAATCTCTGGTGAGTGCGGGCACTGCATTTGGGTAGGATGCCTACTAATAGCTGTTTCTTTTGGGGGCACAGATCAAATATGCTTCGACGGCTTTATTCCAATTTTTACGTTCCAATCCGACGATGGTGCCGCGCCTGTGCACGGAAATTGTGGAGATCTTTCAGGAGAATCTGCTGAACGAGCGCGTGACCTATCCCATATTGAGTTTCCTGGACATACTCATTGGTTCGGGCACCACCGACATGGTACTGCACGACGAGTCCAATACCTTTGTCGAGGACATCTATCGTCTGCTCAATCTGGAGGTCAAGGGCTACAAGAAATTGTACAAAACGGCCACCAGCATCAGCGCCTTTTGCCAGCTCATCCAAGTGCCGCGACTCAGCAGGCGTGTGCTCTCCAAACTGTCAGTATTCCTGGGCCTGCAGCATGTCCATGTCCGCAAAACGGCTGCCACAAAGCTGTACGAGGCATTGGCCCTGCATGGCGATGTTACCGATATACCCGAGGATAATATGGATGAAATCCTGACACTCCTCTCGGAGACAGACTGGACCATGCCCCTGGTGGAGGTGCGTCCGTTGCGGAATCAGCTCTGCCAATTGATGGGCATTAAGCCACCAGTTAGTGGTGCAGCAGCATCAGAAGCAGCAGATAAATGAATTTCTACAAAAGTTTAGCTTATTTATTATCACTGTGTATTAAATGCTTTTACTAATATACATTTTGGTCGCTTAAAGCTTAGCCAGAGGAGTGTCTTTACCTTGATTTAAGGAAACATAGTTGGTTTAAATTGATTAATTATGGCAGAAAGTATCTTCCCATAAAAACTATCTTCAGAGCTCCCATAGCCGAAGACTTCTTTGGGTGCTGTCGCAGCAATAATTGGAGGGTATAAAGTACCCAATATTCCGTTACCGTTTCCGTTGTCTTCAGTTGATACCACACCCACGCGGTGCTCTTTTCGTGCAATTTGTTCTATGTTAATAACGGTTATAGAACTCTTACTTTAGTTGATAAACTTATGGTTTAATTACAGGGAGCTTAAGTGGGCTGAATTCGTTCACTCATGTCTCGGTATATAATGGTATATTTCATCATATCTTTGGTACATTACGGTATATTTCATCATTTCTTTGGTATATTACGGTATATGTCTGATGGTCGGTCACACTGAAACCACACACTAAAACTAAATATAATGACGATTTGAAATAATAAAACATAGCAAACAAAGTACAAATTTCCAAGGAATATCAATAAAAGTAACGCTGATTTCACACCGGGTACATTTGTCATTGAATTAGTTTTGTATTCTGTCACAACAGAGTATTAGTATTACACAGTTACACAATTTTTAAATCCTACTGTGAAATCAGCGGTGTGGCCTGGCCTCTTATAATCGGTGGAAATCTGTGGCCTGGCCTTCGCTTCTGTGGAATATCAAAGATGAATCTTTGGACTGCCCGATCGGTAATGCACTGCTTGATCCGGCAGGCCCATATATTGGCCAGAAACAGAATCAAAGTGCTGCCGTCGCAACAACATGCCGCGCCGGTATATGGTGAGTGTGCTGTGAGGTTATGTCTAGCAGGTCTTGCCTCGAATGTTCATGTTTTTTTCGGTTTTGCAGATCGCCGACGTTCGTCTCATGGAAAACTATATGAAATGGTAAAAAAGCGTACGCTTGAGGCACGCACTAAATCTCAGGCTCAGAAATACCCGAACCAAAATGTTTGTGTGAAAAGATACAGGGAGGAGGAGGAGGTGGAGTACGATACCGATGTTGCAGAGTCTCCTCCTTCTTGTTCACAACAACAACAACAACCACTGCCTCCGCCTCATTTTCAAGCAAAATATCAAGAGTACAATAGCCAGGCGGCTGACCATAAGTCAAAGTTCCCAGGGGTACCAATCTGTCATCTGTCATTCCACCACACTCCCACATCGAGTCGCTTAACAATCCAATCTACCCACTTTACCCCCGAGATACTCATTTAAAAGCTTTATCTCTCTCGCCTCTGCTTGCAGGCCTATGCGACCAGCAGCAAGTACATGTCCACCGCCAAGGAGGTGCTCAAGTCTTCAGAAGTTACAGGCCCCTTGATGGATTGCAACAAAAAACAAACAACCAAGGATCCTTGTGATCAGTTTAAGCAAATGCGTTTGGAAACTGAACAGGTACAATGTCCGCCGGGTGGAGGAGCTGGCGGTGGCGGCGGCGGCGGCGGTGGAGGCGCTGGAGACGGCGGCAAGGATTGTGAAGACCCAAACAAATCGCTGAAATTGAAATGCCTTATGGGTGCCCTGGCCGCACTGGTGGCTGGTGGATTGGTATGTCTTAATGTTATGAGAAATATCCCTGTATTGATTTCTTTCCCTTGCTGTAGATTGCCTGGTTTCTGGCGAGTACAAAAAAAGATGATAAGTCAGGAGGGTCAGGCAGCGGCGATGGCAGTGGCGCCGGCGCTGGACTTAATTCAGCAGAGGCTAGGAAACGCGCCCAGTTGGCAGGACTTTTAACAAGTGAGAAGGGGGACAAAACTTTTCCGCTTTGATGCATTATTCTAAAGCAAAACGCTCGTTCGCTTTCAGGTCCTGACAGCTCTGAGAAGCTGCCCAAACATGTGCCTTACTTGATCATTGGCGGTGGCACGGCCGCCTTCTCTGCATTCCGTTCCATCAAGTCGAACGATGCCAAGGCCAAGGTGCTGATTGTTAGCAATGAATACCGCAAACCCTATATGCGTCCGCCCCTATCCAAGGAGCTGTGGTACACGCCCAATGCCAACGAAGATCCCATCAAGGATTATCGCTTTAAGCAATGGACTGGCTCCGAACGAAGGTCTGTTATTCAGCATTTCCACATTTCTCAGCACATTCTCTAAGGTTTTTGTGGCACCCTTTTAGCTTGTTCTTTGAACCGGATGAGTTTTTCGTGGATCCCGAAAAGCTGGAGGACAGTGTAAATGGTGGTATAGCCGTCGCCCAAGGATTCTCAGTGAAGAAGGTGGATGCCCAAAATCGCACTGTGACATTGAACGACGGCTGTAAGATCACTTACAATGAGTGCCTCATTGCCACAGGCTGTGCCCCCAAAAATCTGCCCATGTTCCGTGATGCAGCGCCCAATGTCCGCGAGAAGGTGATGGTCTATCGCACACCCGATGACTTTGATCGCCTGCGACGCTATGCCACCGAGAAGCGTTCAATTACGATTGTGGGCAATGGCTTCATTGGCAGCGAACTGGCCTGCTCCCTGGCCCACTACTCAAAGGAGAATGGCGGTGGCAAGGTCTATCAGATCTTCCAGGAGAACGGCAACATGTCCAAAGTCCTGCCCAACTATCTGAGCCGCTGGACCATGGCCAAGATGAAGAATCAGGGTGTGTGTGTCATACCCAATGCCAGCATCAAGTCTGCCACCAGAGACGAGGACTCACTCAAATTGGAACTGAACAATGGCATGACCCTGCTCTCCGATATTGTGGTGATATGTGTGGGCTGTTCGCCCAACACGAATCTGGCATCGCCCAGCAAACTGGAGGTGGATCGCAGCCTGGGCGGTTTCGTGGTCAATGCAGAGCTGGAGGCACGCCGTAATCTGTATGTGGCTGGCGATGCCTCATGCTTCTACGATCCTTTGTTGGGCCGGCGACGTGTGGAGCATCATGATCATTCGGTGGTCTCCGGCAAACTGGCCGGCGAGAATATGACGGGAGCAAGTGAGTTTCCCCTTTCAAAGGAGTTCTCAACAAGATTTCCATTGTGTATTTCCCCCCCATTCACAGAGAAACCCTATGTGCATCAGAGCATGTTCTGGTCAGATTTGGGCCCTGAAATTGGCTACGAGGGCATTGGCTTGGCGGACTCTTCACTGCCCACTGTGGGCATCTTTGCACTGCCATCGGCCACCGGCGGACGCTCGAGCACAGATAACTTGACCGAAAATCGCGAGGAAGACGATGGCAGCAAGCACACAATAATAGTTGATGACAAAACCAATGCAGAGGCGGTGACCTGTGATGATGATGCCAACGAGGAGCAGCCCAACTATGGCCGTGGTGTGATCTTCTATTTGAAGAACGAAAAGATCGTGGGCGTTCTTTTGTGGAACCTGTTTAATCGCGTAGGCTTAGCTAGGACAATTATTAATCAGAATAAGAAGTACGATGACCTCAATGAGGTTGCCAAGTTGTTTGAGATTCACTCTTAGTAGTGGTTCTTGCCCCCCCCCACCCACCACCCTAACCACCTCCCGTCAACTCCCCACAAAAAAAAACTATATGTACATATGCGATTTGCCGCAATCGAACAGAAATTTTAGTTCTAGTTTTTCGTTTCCCCCACCCTTTAGTCCAATCACTCCATGCCCACATAGATAGATCCATACCAAAGGTATGATATGATATGTAAAGTGATGTGACGAGGACATGTGTTGAATTTTCGTGTGTGTTTTTCCATAATAAATTATCCTTTAAAATGTTATATACCTGTACCTGTTTTGGGTAATAGGAACTTGGGCGGGCAGCTGTTCCAGAACGGCAGAGGATTTGTACCTAAAGCCGCGCGGCCCTCAACTTATTAGGGATATCTCTAGCGGGGATTAAGCAAACGTGTAGGTAGAATATCCCGAGGGATCCCTAATAAGCAGCGGTCTCGCGGATTTACCCAATTGGTAGGTAGATTTTGTATCCATCAGGTAACTCCTTTTTGTCCTATAAAACCTTGCGATAAATGCCAATGGACCATCAGTTCCTTGCCAACAATTCAACCATGAAGTACAACCGCGTGATGAACAAACGGAAGACCAGCAGCCAGACTCCCTCGCCAGCCAGGGAATCATCAGTCGCCGCCGCCAGCTCCGAGGATTTCGGAACCATGTCGTATGGTGCCTTGGAAATGGAGGCTGCCGCCGCACTGCTCATGCTACGCTATCAGTATGACAGACAGGCGATGCCAGTGCACTCCACTGCGATGACACGTTCACCCACACCGCCGCATCGTCTCGCCGACAAACGCACGCCCAAGGATCAGGCAGTGCGCACTCCGGACTCTGCTCAGCCGCTGAAGAAGCGTTCCATACCCACGCATCTGCTGAGACGCTCCCTAACGCCAGCCAAATCCGCCACCAAAGGAGGAGGATCCTCATCGATTGTGAAGGCCAAGTCGCGTTTGACGCCTGTGCCACGCCGCAATGACAACGACTGCAACAAGGTGCTGCTCAAGTCCTGCCGCAATATGATACGAGAGTTTCTGGACAATCAGGAACTCATCTAAGTGTGAAGAAGTGAAAGGAAATGCATAGATGGATCCATAGGATGTATCCAGTGTGTATCATTTTTTTTCATTTATTTATTGCATATAAATTTGTTTCCGTTTTTCTTTAATATTTTTTTCTATACACATAAACTATGTATGCATATGTATTGATCGAAAGATATAATCGGTAAAGGTTTCTTTTTGTTTTGTTTGTTGTTTGCAAATGGAAGAACAGGTATTGTGGCGACACTAGAGTGCTAATTATTAGCTATTGGCGGTGTGTTTAAACTTAATGCGTAAGCGAAAAAAACAGATACAAAATATATATGTATATGTATGTGTATGTACGAAAAATTAGATGTATTTACTATAAGATCTATGCAATAATTAATAATAATTACAGGCACTAAAAGCTAAGTTGGATGAGCGTGCGTGTGGATCTCCATTCCATTTCCATTTCATTCCATTTATGTTTTTTTGCTTTCTTTTTAATATAATTAATAAAGTGTGCTTCAAAAATGTACAAAATTTCTATTGTGTGTTTATGGGTTGTATGGGCGGTTGGTGGTGGGGTGGGAGGGGCGTGGTGCAATTGTTTTACAAACTAAAATTGTTAATGCTTAAATGAACACTTTTTGCTTTTTTTGCTGCGGTTCCACAGATCTTCCTTGGGGGTGGGGTGGGGGCGCAGCCGCTTAGAAAACTAACATACAAATATATAATAATAATAATAATAATCCTATGCATATTGTTTTTAATTGAAAACTAAATGTGTATATATATTATAATGCTCATAATCATTGCTATAAAAATGGAAGCCAATGTTTTATTTTCTTCATGTTCTTGTATCTAAGGGCTAAGGGGGTTTCTCCAATTGAAATTGAATTTTGAAAGCTCTCTGGTTGCGGCTGTCGTGAGAGGCAGCAGGCAGGCAGCAGCAGTAGGCCGCCAGAGAGCAACAGTATGGAGGATACTGTTTCAGTTTCCACACTCCATGGCTTCCCATAACTGTTTTGCTTTTCTGTGGCCGTCGTTACTCCTCCTCTGTGCACTCGCTCACCTCTTCTCCAGCCAATGAATCTGTTATCACAAGAAATCAATCTCTCTCTATCTTCTCTTCTCGCTGATTATTTTGTTGTATATCAATTAACAATTTTCTTTTCTTTCTTTCATATTTCGCATCGTATTTTTAACAATTGTTTTTTTATGTTTTTTGTTTGTTTTGTTTTTCGTTTTCATAAATTTGAAACCATTTTGTTGAGGCAACATTTGTAAAGCTCAAAGGTGGCAACACTTACTCGCTAAGGGGGGGCGCTCGCTAGAATCTACTTCGTTACTCGCTACTCGTATGATTGTTGTTGATGTGTGGGGGGAGGGAGGTGTGAAAACTTATAATTTAATTCTGTTTTAATGTAAAAATTGGCACATAATCAAAGGCTGCGCTGCGCCGTATTTTTTTTTTTTCAAGAAATCTACTTACAACAAAATCGAAATTACATGCTCGCTCGGTATCTCCTCTCTCTCTCTCTCACGTTAGCTTAGCTTAATAAATAATTTGATGTATAAAATATATATATATATATTGATGCAAATGTTTTTTCTATGTACAAAAGGCAACCACATCCAGCTAGGGGGCGGGCATAGGGGGTGTGTGTGTGTGTGCTGGTCCCATTTTTAGCTCAGGTAATTTTTGTGGGGTGGAAGGGGGTGCTTCTACTGCCGCATATGCCGGAACGCAGCTAACGCCTCCTCCGACACCTCAACACTGCCATTGCAATCACTGCTGTCCATGGGCACAGGCTGGGCCTGCTGATCGCTCGCCTCCATGGGCTTTGGCGAATTGGAGCCAGCGGACAACTGTTGCTGCTGCTCCTCCGGCTTGGGCGACTGTTCTGCGGGCGAGGGCGCCGACTGATGATCGTTGTAGCGTATCAGCTTAATGGTCGTCAATCCATCGGCATTGCGTATGAGCCTGCAGGATGGAGATGATGATGCTTGGTATTAGGAGGCAACAGAAGCGCGTAGGCGGGGAGGCCACTTACGGATAGCAGTCCTCGTTGCTGGCAGCTGCGGCGGCGGCACTCTTGCCGCTGACACTCAGATCCGTGGGCTTCAGGTCCTCGCCGGCGCTGTCCGATCCCGAGCTCCCACCACCATTCTCCAGCTTCAGTGGATGGAATTGAAATTTGTCCGGCCCTACGGCTCCGGGCGTTTGCAGCGCTGGGGAATTGGGTGGCGCTCCGGCAGCGGCCGCCGTCGCGGACAGATAGTGGAAGGCTCCGTTGATGGCGTGCATGAAGAGCGGCGATGTGGGTGGCGGACCATAAGCGGCAGCTGCTGCTGCAGCCACTGCTGCCACAGCGGGCAGACTCATGGGACCATTACGGGAGGCAGGACGCTGGGGGGATTGCTGTTGCTGCTGTTGTTGCTGTTGCTGCTGTTGTTGCTGCTGCTGCTGTTGTTGGCTCCAGTTCTGGACCGCTGCTGGGCTGCTGGGCGCTGGTTGGCCATTGCCTTGCGTCATCCCCTGGGCTCCGCCATTGCCAGCACTCGCTGCAGGTGTGGACTGCCGCAACAGCGATATATTCTTAATGTTCTTCAGCTCCGTGGGATTCCTCAGGAACTGATAGCAATGCCGTTCGCCCTGCACTTTGCGCAGGATATTAACGCGATAATAGTACCGCAGGGCACGCGACATCTTGTCGTAGTTCATGGACAAATGGTTCTTCTGGATGCCCCACAGCTTGGCCAGCCCGGCGGGATCCACAATCTTAAAGACGCCCGTATCGCGGCACTTCCAGGCAATCAGATCGCTGTACTTCTGGTTGCGATCGTTCAGCAGCTGCTGCAGAAAGTCCCACAAAAGGCGACCATCTAGAAGGGAGAGCAAAATGTGTTAGCAATAGATTTTGGATAGCTTTTTAAATGCTGCACTTACTTGTATTGGGCTCGGAGTTCTCTGGAAAGAATTCCCTTTTGGCTTTGTACATATAACTGGGCGTGGTCGGGGCCGAAATGGAGCCCCCAGCGGGTGTCACCACTGGTCCAGCTGTGTTATCCAGCGTCAGCTTCTGTGGCTGCTGCTGCTGCTGTTGTTGTTGTTGTTGCTGTTGTTGCACCGCCTGCATCTGCTGCTGTTGTTGTTGTTGTTGCTGTTGGGACCACGAATTGACAAAGCTATTCGTCAGCTGCTGCGTCCAATTGGGTTTAATATCCTTCAGTATGGGCGTGCCCGGTGGGCTGGCCGTGCTGTAGGAGAGCGGCGCTGGTGGCATTCCGCCGGTTGCCATCTTTGGCTCTGACGCGGAGTACTCCTCCTCGGAGTCGCTGTGATTGCTGCTGGCACTGCTGATCCCCTTCATGGGCATGGCCGAGCCATTGCTGTTCGTGCTGCTGCCAGAGCTGGAGGAGGGCGGCGCCGATGGTCCGCTGTTTGAAGTTGCCACACTGTTGGATCCTCCGTTGGTGGTGTGTACCGAGCCTGGAGCGCCTCCGTTCTGGTTCTGGTACGGTGCCTGAGGCGGACTGCTGGCCTGCGAATCAACCGACGGCGGGGGACTGAGCGTCACCGAATTGGGCGCCATAAAATGATGCGCCGCCAGGTGGTGCGCCGTATTGTGGAAGGGATTATTGCTCTCGGGCGGGGCATTCAATGGCGGCCATGTCATTGTCGGCGGGTGGCTTTGCGGCGACAGTGGGTACCGGCTGGTTGGCGTCACCGGGCTATTGGGCAAATGCCACTGCATCATGTGCGACTCAATGATGAGCATCTGCAGCACATTGTGCAGCACGTCCCCGGCGCCGGGGCATCTGTGTCCAAAATCGGCACGCGTCAGCAGACACAGCGCCTTGCCGTTCATCTGGAAGAGATCAAAGTCGAGCTTCGGTAGATCAAATTCGCGCACGCAGAAGCGCAGGAAGACGAGCACATCCTCGCGACTCCACAGACGCGGATCGGAGGGTAACGATGGGGGTAACTGGGTTTTCAGCTCCGCCAGCTGGCTGGACGGTGCCGGTGGGCAGCGCCACAGCACATCGCTCCAGATGCCGGGATTGAGCGAATTCAATGATAACTGTACTGGGAGCATTTTCATTTTGGACATGCAGCCACCTTTAAAATAAATGAATCCTGCACGCGCGACTAGTGGCAGCCACTAGATGGGTATCCGTGGTGGGGGGATTTGATTTGTGATCTGCAAATGACACAAAAGGGAAATTTCACAAGTTAGTTTAAAGTCGGAAACTCTTATATGTATGTCTATTATATGTCTATTCTAACGGTTCAAAGTGCAGAGGATGTACACACTTCCGTTAGCACAAAATTCCAAAGAAGAGCAACACTAGGAATCGGAGAGCATCGGCATGTGTTCTCTTTCCAGACACAACAACAACAACACCACACATACCGCGATCCAATTCGAAGAGAGCGAGAGAGTCAGACAGCCGCCGCCGACATTCGCATTCCAACAAAATCAAATTTCTTCATAATCGTCGCCGCCGCCGCGCAAAGTATCCAATGGATGGGGGTTTGGTTGAAATAAACAAATAATATACAAATATCTCCAACGATGCGGACGCGAACGCGGACGCAGACGCTACTATCCAAGAAATACAACAAATATTTGTATAGCAGGCAAGCGCATCCGAACAAACTGGCAGACCGGACCGGACCTCAATATCGGAGGAGAGCCAAAAAGATAGTGTGACTCACTGGAAGAGACGCAGCAAGGCAGAAGCAGAAGAAGGCAGCGAAGCTGAGGCTGTGCTGCTGCTGATGCTTGCTCTCTTCTTAGCTCTCTCCCTCTCTCTCTCTCTCTCGATCGCATCTTCTTCGGCACACACACCCCCGCAGCGACGGACGTTGTCTGCTGTGTGGAGCAAAGAGGAAGATCTTCGGGAGAACAACAAAAAAATGGTTCGGCATAACGGAACACAAGAATGCGCTACAGCTACAGAATGAGTGGAATGTTTCGTTAGATTAGATCAGCGTCCCTATCAAATGCGCATAGGAAAGTGAGCAGTGCAAACGTAGCGCCTTCGGTAGTCGCCTAGTCAGACTCATTTAACATTTTAATTGTAAATTTCTCAATATGGTAATTTCCATAAAAAATGTGTGATCTCTGGATGTGCATGTGTTTGTGTGTGCATGGGCGTCCCGCCCCACAGTCATATTCCGGATGTGTACACACAAACAAATACAGGGAGATGTGCATGTACATACATGTTCGTGTGTGTGTGTATCTTTGGCGGTGATCATTTTTGCTGTAAAGATTTCAACATAAACGAATGTATTGATGGGCACAAGTGCGGTGCAGGGTAGTTGGCGGGAGGGAGCTAGGGATCGTGGAATAAACGAACGAACGTCTCTCGAAAACTTGAAAGCCGTGCCCATTGCCCACTCTCGGGCCATATCTTGCAGCAGCAGCAGCAGCAGGCAGCAAACGGAAGTGCACATTCCACACAACAAAACCCGTTTCCAAAGGCAACAGCGTAGCAGCAACCACGTTGGAGAAAGACGGTGCTGGCGACGATGGATGGGGGGCAACTAATAAATCCGCCAGTGGGTAAAGAGAGCAGCAAGCCATGAGTAAATGTAGAAGAAGAAGCAGTACTAGTAACAGCAACAGGCCAAGGAGGAGCAACTTGTTCAGGCACCCTGTTTATTCCCAGACAAAGTGCCTGTGCACTCACACACACACACACACACACGGGCAGACACACATCCATATGCTGCTGCTGGCATGTTAAAATTTATCTCACATCTCTGCTGACGTCTCTGCTCTGCTTCTGCTCTGCTCGCACACAAGAAACTTCCTCATTCTCCGGGAAGCGCTTTCAATAAGTGAGAAGAGAGCAGCGCTAGAATGGGCTGGCAGGCAGGCAGGCAGCAGGCAAGGCAAGTGGCTGAAAAGAATGAGTGTTGGAGGGGGGGGATCGACTATGCAATGATGATGTTCCCCAATGATCATGATCATCTTGAATATTTTATTATGCATGTACATACATGTCTCTTAGAGGGGGTCGGATCCGATCTATTTGTTTTCGAAGAGAGAGAGCGAAGGAGATGCCCCGCTGCTGATTGTGCTCCACACACATACACTAGCACTCGCGCACATATGGTGGGAGATGGGGGAGATATACATATATGTACACGATCCTACGTGTTATTTTGGTTGCCACAAAACACACAGCGAACCTAACCATAACACATGGCAGAATTTTCACTAAAATAAAACTCAAATCATATATTCCTCTAGTGGCAGCACACACATGTTTCGGGGAACAACAAATAAACATTCGGACCAGAGTTGGAGTCGGTGGCACGTAGTAAAATGACAAATGAATGCTCATCATCAGAGGCCAGAGGCAGAGGCAGGGGCAACGGGCATAAAAAGGCAGAGAAGGGGCAGCAGCAGCAGCCGAGGCAGACAGAGGAACAGGCTAAAGCAGAAGCCGAAAGACAAGCAAGGAACACTAGCTTCAGATGCGAAAGCTTTGATGCCCTTGCTAATTACATAAATTAAGATATGGTATTCCGATTTGGCTCAAAAGTAGATCCAATTGAGAGACTTTGTTCCTATGTCGAGTGTACCGATCTTTGCTTTAGTGATTTATAATCTTCGTTTCCAAACTACTCGTAAAATCATCATACCTTTGCTGCAAAGGGTATAGCAACACGCAATAAGAGAGTATAAAGAATATTTCTAAATCTCAGCAGCAGCAGCAGCGAAGGAGGCGCGGCATGAAAGAAGAAATTGGAAGCGCAGCAGCAGCAGCATTCACCCCCACCCCACTGCACCGCACCAGCACACCTCTCCGTAACGTAAAAACGACTCTCGGGCACACAGGTAGTTCGAAAGGTATGCGGACGATGTCGAACCGGTTTCAACGGAAATTACAAACGAAAATTATAAAACGATCAGTTTAGAAAAAGACAAAAAAAACGAGTCGAGTGGAGAGGGAGAGAATAAATACCAGCAAGGGGGTAGATGAACGGCAGGAGAGGGAGGTGAAAAAGCAGATGAGAGGCAGGAAAAGGAGTGGGGGGAGCAGGAGCAGGAGCAGGAGCAGAGAAGCAGACAGGGAGGCATAAAACCAAGAAAGGTGAAAAACTACATCACTGCACACAAATGGGTTAAGGAACGTCTTCTGCTCCCCGCACTCTCTCTTTTATTTGCAATATTTCCGCTTTTGGACAGAACGAGAAGAGAGAGCGAGCGAGCGAAGCAGCATCGCAATGTGAGGGGGCGTGTGGGTGACAAGTTGATGATGTTGGCCGTGGGATCGGAAATCCACAAAGAGAAAATGGGACACGACCCGATTGAGAGAGAAAGATAGAGATGCCCCCAGTGGATAAGGAAGTCGTAGAAAAAAAAGTCAGCAGCAGCAGCACTACAGGGAGAGGGAAGGATTAAATGAAAAGCAATACTAAAATGATGAAGAAATCAGATAAGCTGGAGGAAAAAGAATCGGATGCCTTATCTGTGCCTCTCTTCCCTCAAGATGACACTTGATCATCCACTCCTAGACCCAGCTGGAATTCCAGTTCCAACAGCGACGGCCTGGAATGATTCACTAAATGTGCAAGGAAGAGTGAGAGAGAGAGAGAGTGACAGTACAGGGACAGGGCCCCGGGAGTTAATGAGTAATTTCCGCAGGCGCATCCTTCTTTGGGACCCCCCTCTGACGATGGCACTGCACTCTGGTGACGGTGCATCAAGTGCTGCGCAGTAAGAATGATGAGCAAAGGAGAAAAATCTGATAGCAAACAAACACACAGAGAGAGAGAGAGGGAGAGAAGAGAGACAGAAGCGACAGCCGCCATGGCGCATTAAGATTAACGGCTCAACAGCAGTCGATCGCGGTAAGGTGCCAGAGGGAGATGGCTACAACTAAGATGCTGATGGATGCTATCTGCTCTCTCACTCTCTTTCTCTCCCACTCTCGTGTCAGGTAGAGAAGGAAGAGAATGAGGAAATGCGTCCCATCCCATCCCCTTTGCCATCTTATTCTGTCTACGGGCATATGATGCACTTTACATCTTGTAGGACTTCTTGGAATCCCGAACCGAAAAACAACTATCAGATATGTGAATATCAGGGAAGGGAAGGAATGGAATGGAATGACGAGGCATGCTGTGTGGTGTGGCATGGCATGGATAGTGGTGCGGTGTCGTCTCCTCACTGTCGTTGACATTTGATCTCTTTTATGAGGTCTTTCCTTGGATTTGAGGCTCAAGTGCTTTGCTGTGTATGCCCTCTGATATTGCAGCTTCGTTTTCCTTTTCTTTTTGTTTGTTTCTCTGTCTTTTTCCCATTCTTCCTTTTTGTTTTTTTTTTTTTTTATTTGCCCTAAATCAACCCTTATTAAAAGGCGAGGGGTTTGACCCTACTATACCACAAAAATGTTGCTTGTAATTCAATGAGTTTGCTCAGGGTTCAAATTCGATATGGTACAGTAAAATCGCCCTAGAGTAAACTCTATAATGAAAGCTTATTTAGGAGCGGGGACATTGATGGCTTTCAGAGTTGAAGAAATCAGACGCAAAAATGTGCTTCAGGAACAGACTGAGTGAGTCTCTATGGGCTATCCTCCCTAGAGGGCTTTCACTGTATTGCTAGTTTTTTTTTTTTGCACGTGTATGCCAGCTGTTTTTTTTTTTAGATCGATCACCTTCTTCCCCATGCCATACAATACATACATATCAAATACTCAATTAATAAGCATAAAAAAAACGATATACGATGTATTCAAAAATCCGAAATCCAAAATAGTCGAGTCAACGACCTGCTTTGCTTTTATAACTTCTCTCACACACACACACAGGCACACTCGCGTCTTCGAGCGTCTCGTTTATTTAAGAGAAACAACAACAGCCAGCAGCAAGCAAGCCCCCGCTTATAGAGGCGACCCCCCTCTCGATCTTGATCACACATGATTTACCCTTACCTCCGGATACACCTCTCTGGTAACTGCTCTTTCTCGCTCCCCCTCTACACCTTTGCACACTAGCGCTGCTCTCTCTCTCTTCTCCCCCTCTCAAATAGACGCTGCTGCTGCGCTGAGCGTGCATAACAAGCGCGTGAGCGTATCGTGTTTGCTATTTGTATTGGCATTCGTATTGGTACCCACCTCACAAATACACACACACACACACAGGTAACAACTACAAAAACGACGCCAATTCCGGGTT